ATCAGGGAAATTTGTGTGGATCTTTGATGTCATTTAAGAAATCATTAATTATTAAAGATACTCTATTTAACTATGTACTTAACTAAGGCGTTCTGGGAGCATAGTGGTTAAGCGTTGGGCTGCTAACGCCAAGGTCAGCAGTTTGAAACTACCAGACGTTCCATGGGAGAAAAGATGAGGCTCTCTACTACAGTAAACATTTACAACCTCAGAAACCCTATAAAAGCTTGCTATGTGTCAGAACCGATTCCACGGCACACAACCACCACCACCATGTGCTTAACTTGAGTCCTGGTGTGGTGCTGTAGGATAAGCACTGAACAGCTTAACCACAAGGACGGTGGTTCAAATCCACCAGTCATTCCTCGGAAACCCTAAACGGGGGTGCTAAGAGTCAGAACCGATTAGAAGGCACTTAACAACATGTGCTTAAGTAAGACACTATATTTGTTTTACATTATGTTTCTGTGATTATGTTTTTTTAAGTAAGAAATGTTTATCTTTCGGAGATACACCTGGAATATTTACAAAAGATTCTGAGATTTGCTTTATGATTTCAATTTCAGCATGTGGTTGAAACAAAATCGGTCATGTGCTAACAATGGTTAAAACTAGTTAACAGGCACATAAAACTACTATGTTGTTAAGTGCCATCAAGTGATTCCAACCCAAAGCAACCCAATAGAACCCTGTAGAACAGCTGGTGAGCTTGAACCACCGACCTTCCAGTTCAATCAACTTTGCAGTCAAAAGCATTAGCCCACAGCCACACCAAGACTACTATAGTCAACTATTTTTGAAGCAAGTTTGAAAATTTCTCAGTGGTGAGAGATGGGGGGAAAGCCTAGGTGTCAAAAAATGCGGTCAAAATTAGATTAGAGTACACTAAATCAGTCAGAATACAGTTTACTTTTCTTAGTCATCAGATTTTATTAACAGCAAGTTCTAGTCTCCAAACCAATTACCATTTTTCACAAATAATGGACACATTCATACAACCTACAAAGGGGTTACACGGTTTTAAAACCATCTAACACACGCTATTTGCCAAAAAACGATGGTAACTTCCAATAGACCTATAACAGACATCCCAGACTTATTTTGTCATCGTTAATTCTACTCATCAGCTAAATGAATGTCAGGTGAGGCAAACCTACGATTCCAATTTAGAGTGGTGTGGAGCTACAGGATACGCACAAAATTGGAATGGCGCTATAGGATACGCACAAAGTCAGCGGTTCAAACACAACAGCTGCTCTCAGAAAACCCTATACACGATCGCTGTGAGTAGGAACCAACTTGACGGCAAACAACAACAATCCTATTTTAAGGACCCTTGGTGGCGCGGTGCTTGAAGAAGTTACTAAGGGAAAAATGAAAAGGATAGTAAGTTGGAGCCTACCTACCAGCAGCTCAACAAAGACTAGAAATCCTAGTTCATGGATTAAGAAATATGTTCAGTCACTATGTAGCCGTCCATCATGGTGGCGATGAGCTGGAATTCACCGACCGCAAGTCGGGTGGTATCTTATTTTGACTTCAATACCAAGCACCTGTTTTGTTAGGATAAACAATCACAGACTAGTCTCTTGTTTTCTCCCTAGTATTTGGAGTAAGTTTGGTGGGAGGTATATACAAAAGAGAGGAACGTACCAGATGTCGTCCACTCCCTGGAAGTAAACTTTCTATGAAATGTGGGTAAAAGAAGACAATCGAACGTAATATACAGACATGATCCCAAAAATCTGCCGGTAAGTAACCACGTACTTGCCCCGCATCAAGTGGTTAGAAAAGAGCTACCTTGGTTGGTTTGTTTCATCTCCTCCTCCTTTCTCAGGGGAGGTGCTAGAGAGCAAAGAAATGACCAAAAGGCCGGAAGAAGGAAAGAGAAAAGCATGGAGCCTGGACAATCAGCCTTTAAATAACTGAAAGTTGCTTTCAAATTCGATAAAGTTACTTAAGAGTGAACCAATAAGCATCTCTCTGTAACTTCAACGACGATAAGTGGCTCAGAGTGCGGAAAAACCCGGCTCAGGTACCTCAGATTCGGATTCCTTTTCTCCACAAGTATTCACAGGTACAAAGGCTTTAAAAGAACTCGTCCAGAATCCGCGACGAGAAGAGGGAATGTGCTCAACTTCGCCAATAGGAACCCCGCAAAAGCAACGCCCACCCGCCCAGGCCAGGCCGCGCCCCTCCAGGCCGACCAGGACTCTCAAACGTCGGTCCAGCTCCTCAGGCCGGGAGGCGCCCGCCGGGAAACCTCTCTTCCCAAGCAGGGAGAGAGGCGGTGAGGACACTGAACCTCGACGGTGAGGACGCGCCTGCCGCCCAGGCCCTCCGCTCCCGTCCGGCACTGGGGTCGTGGCCCTGCACCGCCCACCTGGGCCCGGGCCCCGCGTGGCTAGTCACGAGCCCCGACCCCCGTACACCCCGCGTCCGCCAGGACCGGCGCGCCACACTGAATCGCTGCCGTGCGGACCCAACCACTGACTCTACCTGTCTTCGCTCTTGTTTTTCTGTTTCTTCCCCATCGCGTGTCAGCGGTACTCGTGGCCCCAGCCTCTTTATTCGATCTGTCACAGACCCACTGTCCCCCAGCCGACTTTGGTCTACGCTCGGCTTCGTCCCCCGCGCTGCCGACTGTCGTACCCGGCTCTCCACAGATCCGCGCACTGGGACAGGGCACATATGGTGTGAGCTCTCAGTGCGCAAGCGCATCGCCCCGCCGCCTTGGCGTGGGGACGCAGGGCGCGGCTCATCGAGAGCTGCGCCTCGGATAGAGCGTCTCGGGTTGACCCGCTGGCTGGGCAGGAGTCCGCGCGCCCCCTGCCCGCAGCGTGGTCTGCGCACCTATACCAGCGCCACTGCTGGGTTCTAGAACCAACAAGATAGACAATTATTAGGCTGTCACTCCCCACGTCAGCCCTCTTTCCACTGGGGAACGCAAATTTGGGAGGTTGGCATTCGGTTCACAAGAGGGCTTTTCCTTTCACCTTTTAATCTTTATACATTTATATTTTCAGTGGCACGAAATTCCGTAAAGAACTATAATCAACTAAGAATGGAGTCCAGGTGTGTGGCGCTGTGGGTTAGTACGCTGGACTGTAAAGTCGGTTTGAACCGCAAGGTTGATGGTTCAAGTTCACTGGCTGCTCCTAGGAAACCCTATACAACCTAGGAAACCCTATACAGGCTCGCGAAGGCACTTAACAACAATAATGAATAATAAGTGTTCTCAAGGGAGATAAATCTGGGACAAAATTAGGGCCTTTCAATAACGTTCATGGATTAAGAAATATGTACAGTCACTAAAGAAAACATATGACAAAGATACACATCACTTACCAATTGCCATCCAGGGTATTCTGACATATGGCCACCCTATGTGTTTCAAAGTAGACCGACTCCATAGGATTTTCAGCAAGAAGCCGAAGTCAGGGCAAGACTTTATTCCAAGGTGCCCATAGATGGATTTGAACAGCCAACCTTACGATTAACACTTAAAGGCTTAACCCTTTGTGCCACCTAGACACTCCTATATCCATGGAATGCACATTAATTTCCCCAAAATCACTTTTAATCTTTACATTTAAAGAGCAAGTTCCCAAAATGTGTATATTTGGGGAGTCAGGAGAGAACCTACTGGGGTAACGAAAATGCTCTGTATCTTGATCTAGAGCAGGGGGTGGGGAATATTTGGCAGCATAAGGTGTGGCCCTGTGGGTTAATGGCCCAGACTGCAAAGCCATTTTAACAGCAAGGTCCGCCGTTCAAGCTCACCAGCTGCTCCTCGGAAACCCTATGCAGGGTCGCTAATGGGTCAGAATCGACTCGACGGTACTTAACAACAAGGCTTTCAAAATCATTTGATCTAGCTTGCGAAAGAAACCGCAGTTTCAGCCATCACATTGTTATTGTTGTTATTAAGTGCCATCAAGTCGCTCCGAACCATAGGGTTTCCGAGGAGCAGCTGCTGAGCTTAATCCGCCGACCTTGCAGTTCCAATCGACCTTGCAGTCAAGAGCATTAACCTGCAGCACTGGTGGTCATGGCTGTGTGCCGTGGCGTTGGTTCCGACTCATAGCGACCCTGTACAGGGTTTCCAAGACTGTAAATCTTTACAGGAGCAGAACGCCTCATCTTTCTAGGGGTCAGTTAATTAAATGACCAAACATAGCCGCTAAATTTTAAGTTGGTAATTTTGTATGGAGGGGGAATGATGTTATAAATATCCAAGTGGCCCTTGGTTTGTCGAAGGTTCCCCACTTACAGCCTCTGAAACCCTGTACTGGTTCGCTCAGAGTCGACCCGACCCCAAGGCATATAAACACCAACCACCACCACCGTCCCTCTAGTGGTACTGCTGGATAAGCATTAGACTACAAGGCTGGTTTGAACCGCAAAGTCGGCGGGCGATTCAAACTCACCAGCTGCCCCAAGGAAACCCTATACAGGGTCGCTATGAGTCGGAACCGACTCGACGGCATTTCACAACAACAACCCCTCATTTGGAAGGCGGAGTGTATTACAGGCATTATCTATGTAAAAACATCTGCGGAATAAATTACACCTCTTTTTTTAACTATTCAATAATCCAAGAAACGAAGAATGTGTCACTCCTGAGCGATATCATGCCTATCTCATTTCTAATGAAACATTATAATAACTGCTGAAGGACAGCAGAAGAAAGTCTGACGTCAGGCTCAGTACTAAAAAGACTACAACTGCCAGCACACTTTGCTCCTTCTTTCGCTTAGTAGTTTACGGAAAGCCAAGCCATAAATAGGAAACGGCCGGTTCCATGGTTGGGGAGGAGGGGGGGCGGGCAGGAAAGAAGGGAGCGCACGCGCAAAAGCTCTCGTCTGCTCTTCCTGAATCGCGAGAAGATAGGAGCCAATGAGGAGGCGAAGGCGAAGGCCGGCACCCTAGGCTCCCGCACCTTCAGTGAGAGTGGAGCTCTAGTGGGCCGCGGATCTGCGTCTCCGGTTTCCTCATTTCTCAAGCATCACCGAGAGCTCAGGTGAGGCAGAGGGTTATGTGGGAAACTGGCCACCTTCTCCCAGTGCTGATGGACACACCGCGTCCGACACCTCAGCTGGGGCGGGGGAGGGGCGCGGCCCAGATGCGGGTTGTCTGTGTCTTGGTGAAGACTGTGGCGCGTGCGCCCCTGGAGGCGTTGAAGTCGGGGACTGGGTGAGCCCTCCCCTCTTCTGCCCCTGTGGACCTCGGGAATAGTCAGGATACCTGGGGGGAGGTATTTGAGGTGCAATCGACACCCTTGATTGTTCTGGCGGGTGCCCTTAGGGAAATCTAGGAAAACATTAGGTAATTAGAGGACACCTTGGATCCTTTCTCACCCTTCCCTGATGAGCTGGGGAAAAAAGAATCTGAGGCCATTGTTTGAAGAATGAAAAATTATCGGGTCTGCCAAACCAGTTCTATGACATTTTTCCATTCTGAATAGGGTGAACACCATCACCTGTCCCAGAACGTCTATTGTTAATTTCCTCGGTTCCTTTTTAATCCAGAATTCATTTCTGCACTCTTCCTGTACAACTCCAAGGATAAGCATTCGCTATACCAACACCAACAACATACCCTAGTAAAGGAACTCTGGTAACATAGTGGTTACTAGAATCAGGCTGCTAACTTCAAGGTCTGCAGTTTGAAACTACCCAGCTGTTCGAGGGAGAGAACTATGAGGCTTTGTGCTCAAGTAAAGATATGCAGCCTCTGAAACCCTGTGCAGAGTCACTGTGAGTTGGAACGGACTATGAGTCGGAACCTAGTCCACGGTACTCAACAACAACAACAAATGCCTCTAGTAAGAACAAATTCTGACATGCAAGTCAGTGTGCTAAATGCCCAGTTTTCTACCACAAGTTCTCAGCCCTCAGGATCATAATTGGCCTTTTTCTTGGGAGATAGAAGACATGAACCCGATCCTGTTGTGGCGTTTTAGCATAAGCGCTTAACTACTAATCGCAAAGTCGAATGTTCAATCCCACCAGTCGCTCCTAGGAAATCCTATACAGGGTCATCATGAGTCAGAACAGACTCGAGGGCACTTAACAACAACATAATTGGGCAGGATAAAGTGGGGAATTCATTTGAAATGCAGCTCCTTTTCAACCTTATAGCATTTTTAAGAAGCTTACAATTTGATTTTAAACTCAGAAATAATGTTGTTAAGTGCCGTTGAGTCCAAAATAGGTACTCTAATAGTGCCTTTTAAATTTTATGGCAATTAGAGGAGAAGCTAGGCATCTTTTCATTAAACATTAAGCAAACATTGAACATCTACTGTGGTCCAGGCACTGTGCTAGCTCTGGGATACAAAGATGAAATCAGGTATATGAATATTGTTCATCAGCTTTTCCTATAAAGAAAAAGTGAAGTTTGCAAAGTGATTGTCTCCATAGAATATGTTCACAATTCAGATTTTTTTTATGGTGCTTTAGAACCAGATGCAAATTTATTATATTTTATCATGATGCACAGACTCTTGCTTTGATAGGCAAATGATGCATCTCTTTACTGTGGTATTTAACACAAAGAATCAGATTATATATATCTGTTATATACAAAAAATTGGTGGTTGCTGATAGAAAAGATTTCTTTTAAAATGTAACTTGAGATAATATCTTCCTTTCTAATCTGAATTAGTTCAATTTTATAATACTTTGCTTGACAAAACAGATTTTTTGAGTAGTATTTTACAAAAGAGGAGTGAAGATGGGGAAATAATTTTTTAAAAATCTTTGGAGTGTTATAGTGTTGTAAATCAAAGTTACAAACACTTTCATCAATACCTATGTAAGTTTTGTTGCCTCATATAGTTGGGTCCCTGAGTGGCACAGACAGTTAAGCAGTTGATTACTAGACAAAAGGTTATTGTTTCACATCCACCCAGAAGTTCCTAGGAAGACAGACCTGGCATTCTGCTTCTGAAAGGTGGTTATTAGGGCTGTCGAGTTGGTTTCAACTCTTACTGACCCTGAGTTCAACAGAATAAAACACTGTCCTGTGTTATCCTTAAAGGTGTGCCATCAAGTCAGTTCTAACTCATAGCAACCCTGTTTAGGGTTTCTAAGTAGAAGCTGGTGGGTTTGAACAGTGCTTATCCTATGGCACCACACCAATACTCCTGAAAGTTTGTTGATTGTAAGTGTTGTGGTCAATTCTGACTTAATAATGACCCTGTCTAGGGTTTCCAAGGCTTTACATCTTCAATGGAGCAGCAAACCCTATGGAGAAGTTCTGCTATGCACACATGGGGTTGTCATGAATCAATTCCATGACAACTAACAGGAACAAATATTTTACTAATAATGGGAGAACAGGAATGGAAATGAACACCAGGCACTGTTCTTTGCATACATTATAATGGGATTGCTCATGACTGAAATAAACTAATCTTATTTGAGCAGAAACCATGAAAACATCTGTCCTTTGTTCAATTCTGCTCTATATAGTGTTTGGTGGTTATATGTAAAACTTAAGTATAATTATCCTTGCTTGCATAGTCCTTTCTACTTTCCTTTTCTTTTGGTAAAGAACATATATTGTCAGTACATATCACAAGGTATAACAGCCATCTATTCAGTTCTGTTTGGTCTGGTGCTAGATAAGCAAAGCTTATCTTTGTTGTTAGATGCCATCAAGTCGTTACCGACTCATAGTGACCCTGTGTACAACAGAATGAAACACTGCCCGGTGGTCCTGGGCCAACCTCACAATTTTTGCCACGCTTGAGCCCATTGATGCTGACACTTTGCCAATCCATCTCGCTGGGGATCTTCCTCTTTTTCTCTGACCCTGACCCTCCACCTTACCACACATGATACCCTTCTCCAGCAACTGGTCCCTCCTAACAATATGTCCAAAGTACAAGAGATGAAGTTTGGCCATCTTGGCCTCCAAGAAGCACTCTGGCTGCACTTCTTCCAACACAGATCTGTTGATTCTTTTGGCAGCCCATGGCACTTTCAATATTCTCCTCCAACACCATAACTCAAAAACATGAATTCTTCTAAGGTCTTCCTTATTCACTGTCTAGCTTTCGCATGCATATGCGGTTATTGAAAATACCCTGGCTTGGGTCAGGCACACCTTAGTCCTCAAGCTGACATCTTTGCTCTTCAACACTTTAAAAAGGTCTTGTGCAGCAGATTTGCCTAATGCAATATGTTGTTTGATTTCTTGACTGCTGCTTCCATGAGTGTTGATAGTTGATCCAAGAACAATGAAGTCCTTGACAACTTCAGTCTTTTCTCCGTTGATAAGAATTTTTGTTTTCTTTACATTGAGAAAAGACCATACTGAAGGTTGTGGTCTTTGATCTTCATCAGTAAATACTTTTAAGTCCTCTTTACTTTCAGCAAGCAAGATTGTATCATCTGCATATCGCAGATTGTTAATGAGTCTTCCTCCAATCCTAGATGCCACGTTTTTCTTCATAGAACCCAGCTTCTCAGATTATTTGCTCAGCATACAGTTTGAATAATTATGGTGAAAAAATACAACCCTGGCGCATACCTTTCTTAATTTTAAACCATTTGTGTTCCCATGTTCTGTTAGAACAAATGCCTCTTGGTCCATGTACAGATTCCTCATGAGCACAATTAAGTATACAGGAATACTCATACTTTGCAATGTTGTCCATAGCTTCTCGTGCATGGTTCCCACAATTGAAAACCTTTGCATAGTCAGTAAAGCACAGGTAAACATCTTTCTGGTATTCTCTGCTTTCAGCCGAGATCCATCGGACATCAGCAATGATATCCCTCGTTCCACGTCCTCTTCTGAATTCAGCTTGGACCTCTGGAAGTTCTCTTTCAATGTATCTTTGCAGCTGTTTCTGTATTACCTTTAGTAAAACTTTATCCACATGGGATATCAAAGAGATTGTCCGATGATGTCTTCATTCCATTGGGTCACCTCTCTTTGGAATGAGCACAAATAGCGGATCTCTTCCAATCAGTTAGCCAGATAGTTAGTTGTCTTCCAAACTTCTTGGCATAGATGAGTGAGTGCCTCCAGTACTGCCTTCACTTTCTTAAAGATTTCAAGTTTTTTTCCAGCAATTCCTAGAGCCTTGTTCTTTGCTAATTCCTTCAGTGCACTTTGGACTTCTCCCTTCAGTATCATTGGTTCTTGATCTTTGCTTTAGTATAATTGTTGTTGTTAAGTACTGTCAAGTCAGTTCCAGAAAACACACTAAATCAGAAACATCTAAACTTTGTTCTGTGGTGTGATGAAATACAAATCCTTAAGCCTAACATCAAATATTTTAGTACTTGTGGAGTACTATATGGTATAAAAATTATATACTTGATAGAATTTTTGAGAATAGGATTGGGGGGTGGTAGAATTTTGCTTATTATTTGTAATCTTTTTCCTAATTTGATAAATCTCCCCAGCTCCAAGGCCGAACTATACCACTTAGAAGAATGGAAGCCCATGCATCAGTTGGCATGCTTCCGAAAGTCCTGGAAAGTCAATTGCTTCAGACTACCAAATTAGTGGAAGAACAGCTTGATTCTGAAATTCAGAAACTGGATCAGATGGATGAGGATGAATTGGAACGCCTCAAAGAAAAGAGACTTCAAGCACTAAGGAAAACTCAACAGCAGAAACAAGTAACCTCTCTGCCCTGCTTTCTGAAATTGCTATAACAGTATGCACCTAACAACTTATATATACATGTGCTACAGTAATTACATTTTGATCCTCCATTTTTAGTGTATTTTGAACTGAAGGTACTTGTTATTGTTGTTAAGTACCATCGAGTCTGTTCTGACTCATAGGAACCCTATATTGGATTTCTAAGAAGAGGTCATTGTGTTTGAACTGCCAATCTTACAGTTAATCAGTCCATGTTTATCCCACTCCCTAAAAAAGCTTTCATTTAAAAAAAAAGGTCAATCAGTATGTTAATCCCCAGAACAAAACCATTGCTCTCAATTATGACTCACAGTGAGCAACCCCATGGAGCAGAGTAGAAGGGCCCCATACAATTTATAAGGCTAAATCATTATGGAAGCAAAGTGCCACATCTGTCTCTCTTGGAACAGCTGCTGGGTTTAAACCTCCAGCCTTTCAGTTTACAACCAAACGCCTCACCACGCTGCACCACCAAGGCTCCTTATTTTAAACCAGAGTCAAGTAAAAGAGGCAGATCCTGCTCAAGTGCATTTCCAGAGCTACATTTTTTAATCAAGGAGAGAAAGTGGAGTAGACAGAGCAGCAAGAGCACTAGGACTCAGTAGTTTCCCTGTCCGGTCAAACTGAAGCCTAACTTTTAGCATCTTCAGAGCATGGCTGGCAAATAGGATAAGAACTGTAAGACAATTCCTGTTAAAGAAATTACTCCAGGCATTTCAGTGTAACATTTAATTATATTAAATAAATATGGCTTATTTGAATGAATGCATGCTAATCACAAAATAAGATAGTCTCAGATTGTTCTCTTTTGGTCTCTTAAACAAAATCAAAAGGAGCTCTGGTGGTGTAGTGCTTATAAGTTGGGCTGCTAATCTCATGGTAAGCAGTTTGGGGGGGGTGGGAATGAGGCTTTCTGCTCCCGTAAAGATTTACAGCCTCAGAAACCCTATGTGAGTTCGTCGGAAGCGACTCCACGTCATATAACGACCACAGCCAAACCAAAACTACTGCCATTGTGGCGATTCCAACTCAGTGACTAGCACAGACTAGAATTGATCTTGTTGTTGTTGTTGTTAAGTGCCGTCGAGTTGGTTCCAACCCATAGCAACCCTGTACAGGGTTTCCGAGGGTGTAAATCCTTACGGGAGTAGAAAGCCTCATCTTTCTCCCGCGGAGCGGCTGGTAGTTTCGAACCGCTGACCTTAAGGTTCGCAGCCCGATTCGTAACCACTACGCTACCAGAGTTTTCTAAAATTAGGTTTTGAAATAGACTCCATTCTTTTAACAGAATTGCTAATGATTAGTAAGCAGAGAACTGATGATTGGAATTTAAGGATTTAAATTATGTGGTTAGTTAGACTCTGTCACAAATTCATATTTTGTGATCACTGTGAAAAGAAAAAAAAGCCTGCCTGGTGATCTGCAAAGTAAATGAATTGCTAATGCTCAATTTAAAAAGAAAAGTCATACCTATGATAATGCTTGTGGCTGTGTGCTGTGGAGTCACTTCCTACTCATAGCGACCCTGTACAGGGTTTCTGAGGCTGTAAATCTTTACGGGAGCAGAACACCTCATCTTTCTCCTGCAGAACCGCTGGTAGTTTCAAACTGCTGACCTTGCAGTTCGCAGCCCGATTCGTAATCACTACGCTACCAGAGCTGCTTGTAGAGTGACTGAATTTATCTGAGGACATAAATAATGTTGCAAATGAAGTCAGCAGTTCTTTTGTAAATGATGTCAGCAATTCAGAACAGTAGTTTGAATATTTGTAGCTGAAGACCAACTGAAATAGAAATACTTAGGGCTTTTCTTATTTTAAATGTATACATTGATTTAAGGTGAATTTAAGCTCAGAGGGTTTTGTTTTAGAACTCTTACTGCATTTTCATATATTAATTTCATTCAAATGTTTACTGAGGAAGTAGGCAGGATGCCTTCCTGGTTTGTAAAGATAAACTTTTATCAGAGTGGTGTAGACTAGTAATTTATCTTTTTTCTGATCCACAAGGGTTTTGGAGAAATCAAACATGTGGAGGTGACACATCTTGTGCCATCAAGTTGATTCCAACACCAGTTAACCTCATGTGTTGCAGAGTAGAACTGCTCCACAGAGCTTTCTTAGCTCTAATCTTTATAGAAGCAGATCAGGCCTTTTTTTTTCCCCCCACAGTGCTGCTGGGTGGGTTTGAACAACTAATCTCCTGGTTAGGTGCTCAGTGAAAGCCAATGTACTCAGCACTTAATGTAGTTGTTAAGTGCTTTCGAGTCAGTTCCAACTCATAGCAAATGAATGGCCTTTCACTAATCTGTCTTCCTACATTAGCCAAGCACCCTCCTACTGTTGTGGCAGCTGAAGATGTAGTACTTAGGTAAGGAAGAGAGAAATGAGGTGAGAAATAGAAAGATCACGTGAGTTTATTAGATAGTATCTAAGTTAAGAGCCAAATGCTACTCAGCTGTCGCTGCTTCAGCTAGATCAGGCTGAGCTGTGATCTTTGCTCATCCTGGTTCGATTCCGTTCAGCAGACACGGAGAGCACAGGATCTGGTGAGTAGCTCAGGAGAGGCGCCAACCATTGGTGGAAAATCAAAGTGAGCTTTCACTCTAAAGAACTTGAGCAGGTTCAGGTGTTCAGTCTGTTGAATAAGCACATCAGAAGGAAAATGAAAATAACCTTTATTAAAAGAACATGTCTTTGGAGAATCAAGAACCTATACACTACTGCCATTGAGTCGATTGCAATTCATAATGAGCCTATAGGAGAGAATAGAACTGCTCCTTAGGGTTTCCGAGACAGTACATTTTCACAGGAGCAAGACAGCCTCATCTTTCTTCCACAGAGTGGCTAGTGGGTTTGAACCGCGTACCTTGCAGTTAGCAGCCCAGTGCTATCCCACAACACCAGCAGGGCTCCTTCGATAATTAAGAAAAGGAGTCATAAAATGTTGCATGATATTGGAAAATGGTAATTGAGAGTTGACACTGTTTAGAAGCTTTACCAAAGAAACAATCACATAAGGAGAAAATATCGCAGGGTCCCTATGAGTGTCACCTTAACATAAGCCAATGTGAAATGGATTACAACTGAACTGTTCGTGCAGCTGAGGTCATATGAACAGAAGGCCAGAGGAGCGGAGGAGTTTTCACTCCTCTTCCTTTGTAGTTGGACCACTTCTGCCACATTTTAAAAGGACATGGACAAAATAGAGTGCTTTCAGAGGAGGACAGTGAGTAGAGCAGGATGTCTAGAAATCTTTTCATATGAGAAATAGTCAACAGACACCGGAAAAGTTCAGTTTGGAGAAGGATAGACTTAGGCAAGATGTGATAAAAGAGATACTAGAACTTGTCTATCTAATTTTAAATCCAAGTTAGAATTCAGAGACCAAGAATAGGGATGTATATTGCAGTTCATTGTGTGAAGACCTTTCTAAATATTAGAGAATATGTATTTAAGTACACATTCCCAGGGTCACTATGACTTGGAACTGACTCAACGGCATATAACCACAACAACATGCTAAACATTGCTTTAGATTACTTCATGTACGTAGTCTTATTTCCGTAACAACCCAGTGGGATACATTGTCATCCCCACTTTACAGATGAGGGTTTTGAGGCTCAGAAAGGTTACTCAATTTTATAACTGTACAGAGCCATCTGCCTTGAAGCCCAGTATCTTTTTATTAAAACAAACTTTCTGAAAAAAAATAAATGTGCTTCCAGTTGATGTGATAAGATTCCTGTCGCAGGAAAGGTTGCAGAAGCTGAAAGGTCAGGTGTGGTAGATAAAGGATTCCTGTATTGATTAGCGAAGTTGGACTAGGTGGTAGGTGACGTCTTTATTGTTTCCAGGTGCTGTGTGAGTAGACAACCCTTTCTTCCTAGAACACCTGCCCATGAGGGGTTTTTTTAAATCCAGTTTTTAAAAATGTTTGGTTGTTTAGATATATATAGGAGATCATGTACCACTTCAATAATTTCTACATGTGCAGTTCAGTGGCACTGACCTGACTGGAGTTGTACAGCCATTTTTAGCCTCTTTCTCTCTGTTGTTCCTTCCCCATTGGCATAGACTCACTGCCGCTTAAGTTTGTTAACTTATCTTTGGAGTTGCTGTTGTCAGTATGATTACTTATAAGCCCCTTGCCACCCAGCTGATTCTGATTCTAATGACTCTATTAGACAGAGCAGACAGGCTCCATAGGGTGTCTGAGGCTAAAATCTTGACAGGAGTGAGCAGTTGGTGGGTTCAAACCTTTGACCTTTCGGTTAATAGCCTAGGTTTAGCTATTCCTACAGTGATAGATCTTAAAAGAGCACAATTCTCAAGGCAGACCTTTATTAGCTAAACTAAACTTTTCTTTTGGTGTTTAAAGAGATCTAAGGGGATAATTTTGGCTTAAGATTTAAAGATTATCTCAGGACCATAATTTCCAGGATTCATCCAGTCTCCATGACTCTAGAAAGTCTGGATTCCATGAGAATTTGAAATTCCATTTTGCAGTTTTCCCCCTTTTAATCAGGATTTTTCTACAGAATCTTTGATTGGAATGTTGAGTGATGCATACCATTCAGTGCTAATCTCGTGGCAAAGATGAATATTGTATTTTTAAAGCATTTTAATAACAGATCAAATGTTTCTGGTTTTAGTAATTTAAGAGTGCAAAAAATTCAATAGATACTTACATTCTGAGTCCATTTAAGTCTGAGCTTTTATTTTGAGAGTTATGAAAAAGCAGAAATGTTGTAAACTACCAAAACATAATTTTCTTAAATCCAAGCAGTGTTGTGAAACTATGACTACCCATAAGCTATAGTTTTGTAACATCTTTCAAAAGAGAAAAGTAAACAAAGAAAAGTAAAAAGCTGAAGTGAATTCATATCTTTGCAAGGTAACTACCAACTTCATTACAAAATACTGTGTTGAATTGGTAACTGAAATATAAGGTACCGAAAGGCTGACATTAAATGTGTAATATTTCCCCTTCTCTCCAAATTAGGAATGGATTTCTAAAGGACACGGGGAGTACAGAGAAATCCCTAGTGAGAGAGACTTTTTTCAAGAAGTCAAGGAGAGTAAAAAAGTGGTTTGTCATTTCTACAGAGACTCAACACTCAGGTAATTTCATTTCTACCAGCGATTTTTTTTTTTTTTTTAACATGACATGTTTAGCTACAGATAATCTGACTTAATAGAGAAATTAAGAAAAATAAATAGGTGCTTTACTGTGCTGGAAATCAGTGCATTAAATTTCAGCAATTAATATTTTAAAGATTAATGTAAACCAGTGACTTGCCAAGGTATAAATGAGCATTATTGAAAGTCAAGACTATTCCCATATAAATGGTGTATGGTTTCTGAGTTATAGTTTCAGTGTTGTTAGTTACCGTGGAACCAGTTCTGACACGTGGCGACTCCATGTGGGCAGGGTAGAACTAACTGCTCCCTAGGGTTTTAGGCTGTAACATTTAGAAAGCAGATTCCAGGCCTGCCTTCTGAGGCACCTCTGGGTCAGTGTGAACCACCACCCTTTCGACTAGTAGTTGAACACTTAACCATTTGCTCCACACAGGCGCTGCATATTTTCACTAACTTTAAACATCTCAGAGATGTTAAAGTTCTTATTAGTGCAAAAATAATAATTTGTTTTTGTTGTTACTATTATGAGATAACCAAGAAGTTGGGGCCAACAACCTTTCAGAGCTGGTGTTCTGACAGTCCTCAGAGGAGACAGTGGCTTGGCCAGCCCTTTTTCTGGGAGCATACTTGGGACTGGGAGGAGAAGAACATAGCTACTCTGAAACTAGCTCAATTCTGAAGACTTCTGTTTTTTCTTAACTTTTTATTGTGAATTGAGTGAAGGTTAACAGAGAAGATCAGCTTTACATTCAACAAATTCTATGCTTTGTTTCATCTCAGTGATTACAGTCCCTTCCTTGCAACAACAGCTATCTTCCTTCCTTCCTGTGGTTCCCTATTTACATTTTATATTTCACAAGTGAACAAAGCAAAAATATTTGATGTACACATACAAAGCAAAAAATATATATTCATTTAAATGTCTTAAGGGCATATACTGCAAGCCAGCTTCTTGCCCACAGGCACATAGCCTTACTCAGCCCATGGGCCTAGAGCCTGAAGCGGTTCTGTTTTTCCATGCCACCTCCTCCCCCTCCGTCTCTGCTGTCTCCACTTTTCTAGGTAGGATCTCACACTCCACTCATACCCTTCCTTTTTGATGGTCTTCGGATTGTCTGTTCCTGAAATAGAAGATTAACTACCCCCCTCTTTTAGTTACATATCTTTTATAATTACAGTTGTGATCATCATAATTAATACTCTGCAGACTTCTTTAGGGAGGTAGTTTCCTTGTAAAATGAAAATACCCAGAAGAGGTATCTTAAACCAGATGATTCAAGCATGTATGTGTGTGTGTGTGTGTGTGTGTGTGTGTGTGCGTGCGTGCGTGCGTGCGTGCTTGGTACCAGCATTTTAAAAATTTGTTAATAGCAGACCTGGGTTCAGAATGACAGAATTTGCTGGCACTGAATCACAGCTACCACCTGTAGATGGACATACTTTCCAATGTAGTCTCCATCACTCACCATTGTCTCTGCCCTGCCTGCCCCTGCCCTCTTCTGTCACTCACATAAGTCACCCTGATCTTGCCACAATGTCCAACAGCTTGGTTACTGGTTAACATCTTTTTAAGGATTGATTTACTGGAATTCATTGACTATTGTTAGGTACCACCGAGTCAGTTCCAACTCACAGTGACCATACTCACCACAGAACAAAACACTGCCGTGGCCGGTACCATCCTCACAATCATTGTTATACTTCAGCCCACTGCTGTTGCCACTGTGCCGATCCATCTTGCCACTTCTCTTTTTCTCCGACTCTCCACTTTACCAAGCCTGATGTCCTTCTCCAGGGACTGGTTCCTCCTGATAGTAAGTCAGAAATATGAGAGACGAAGTCTCACCATCTTGACTTCTAAGAAGCATTCTGGCTGTACTTCCAACACAGATTTGTTTATTTTTCTACCAGTCCATAATACTTTTAATATTTTTCTCCAACACCATAAATCACATGCTTCAATTCTTCTATGACTTCCCTTACTCACTACCCAGTTTACACATACACAGGAGGTTATTAAAAATACTGTGGCTTGGGTCAGGTGCACATTAGTCCTCAAACTGACGTCATTATTCTTGAATACTTTAAAGAGGGCTTGTGCAGCAGATTTGCCTAATATAATATGTCATTTGATTTCTTGACTGCTGCTTCCATGATTGGATACAAGCAAAATGAAATCAATGACTAAGAGAATGGAAATAGTGGAAGCTCCTTTAAGGAAGAGTGAGCAGCAGGACGGTTTGGGAAGGTGGAAAATTACTAAATTCACTGCCCTTGTGGTATATCATCTCACATTGGCACAGATGCCAACCTCTAATATATATGATGATGTGATAGACTGATAATCATATTAACATGAGGTTAATAATATTTGTTCAGTTGTTTTTCATGTCTTCTCCCTCTAGACTATTAGTGTCAGGAAAGCAGAGAGCTTACCAATATGGTGACCTTTGCCCTGGGTGCCTGGCCTTATTCAATAAATGTATTTGACAGATGGCAAAACTGCAGAACAAAGAGCAGTGCAAACAAAACTGAAAAATCACATTAAAATTATTCAGTTCGTTTATATGTGTATCTGTTTCTGTATGTATATGTACATAGAAAGAGCCCTCTTGTGGTGGTATAGAAGAAACACTGAACTGCTAACCAAAAGGTCAGTGGTTCAAACCCACAGCCCCTCATTGGAACCCGCCAGAGTGTGTCTATGAGGCAAACCCAACTCAAAATTTAACAACAACGTATGTATTTATGTACATAGTAGAAGGAATAGTTTCTTATACATTCGTAATAACCCTTTGAGGTGAATATTTATAATTCCTACATTTCATGTGTGAAAACCAAGGCTAAGCAACTCGTTCTATACCATTCTGTATCACTCAACTGTTAAAATATAAAAGAGGAATTTGATCCTCCATTTTAAGACTAATGCTATTTTAAGTATGTCAGGACTGCTGCTTCTGGGGTTTTAAATGATGAATTCATTGGCAAATGGTACAATCATAGACTTACTTTAAATAGGCCCCTTGCTCCAATTAAAGCATGGAGTTAATTTCTGTATAAATGTTCAGGAACATATTTCTCACATAAAGTTCATTTATCATTTTTATATGCTTCATTCAAAAACCAGTTTTTCATTTGTTCCTCATAATCATTTTTCTCATGCATAAAACCTCATTATTGAACTTACATGGATGATCTATGAAAAGACACATCTAAGGGAAAGTAATGAGCCATCAAGGTTATAAGACACTTGCTAGACCAAAGCTTAGTTCACAGAAAACTACACCAAGCAATGGACACATAAAACGCTTACCTAGTAAAGACGACCATGAAGCATTTGGTCTCTTAAATCATATAAAGCAGTAGCTCTCAAACTTTATTTGAAGTTGATTGTAATTAATAATTAGAGTTAAAAAAAACTACTGCTGTAAAAATTACTATTGATATATTTCATTTCTTTACAACAGTAATGGCATATTTACTTAGAAAGCCCTTCACCATAGTGTACTTTTAATTGACAGGCACACAATTAACAATAAAAAATTCTTCCTCGGTGGCAGTAATCAGTCTTTCCTAGTGTATGTTTCTTATTCTTAAACTTCTGAGTTTCATCATACTCAGATTTATCCCACTTCACGCATAGGGAAATGACTATCTTAACTACATTCTCATTCTTACCATCGACATGACTCTTTGTGAACCTCTTCATGACTAGGAAAACTTAGTAATTTGTTCTTTCTAAATGTCTTTAGGAGCGGTAGTAAGTTTGTAGACTGCTGGATTGCAGCGAACAGGCAGCTAGCTTGTTCTCCTGTGGCTCACAGGAGAAGAGACTTGGTGGTATGTGTTGGAATCAACTTGACAGCACGGAACAACAACTTTGGAAATGAGGTCATCTGACACAAGCATAGGTCAGCTGCCTAATTATAAGACTCAAACTAAAACTAAAATGAGATTACTAAGATGTTGTATGGTAAGTACTGGACTGCTAACTGACTGCAAGGTTGGCGGTTCAAATCACCAACTGCGCCTTGGAAAACCTAAAAAGGGTCACTGTAAGTTGGAACCTACTTGACAACACCTTAGCAGTAAGGCTTGGCAATCTGTGTTTCTTAAAGGTAACAGCCTGGAAAACCCTCTGGAGTACAATCCTACTCTGCACACGTTGGGGCCACCTTAATTCAGAATTGACTCAACAGCAGTTCACAATAATATTTAATGGGGACAGGGGGAAGTAATCTACTGTTGGAGCTTTTGAATTTCTATCTTGTTGTTACAGATGTAAAATAATAGACAAGCATTTGGCAATACTGTCCAAGAAACATCTTGAGACCAAATTTTTGAAGCTGAATGTGGAAAAAGCACCTTTCCTTTGTGAGAGATTGCGTATCAAAGTCATTCCCACACTAGCACTAGTAAAAGATGGGAAGACACAAGATTATGTTGTCGGATTTACCGATCTCGGAAATACAGATGACTTCACCACAGAGACGTTAGAATGGAGGCTTGGTTGTTCTGATATTCTTAATTACAGGTAACTTTCAGAAAACACATGGATTTATTTTAATTCACTGATTTGATTCATATTTTTCTTTTTTGATTATTTTAGAGCTGATTTTGTTCCATAAACACTTTTCTGTGAAATGAAGGTGTAGAAAAACTTTCACAAAGAAAAGGCCTATCTTTGAAAGCATACTTTATTTACTTCATAACCATATAGCTAGACTCTCCCTGGAATTGGCTGTTTCTCAAAAGAGCCATGATTCCTTTCAGTGGGAAATGATATTTGGAAACCCAAATCTGGGTGCTAGGAGTAGTCCCTAACACATTTTAAATGAAAACATACCTCATTTTATTTCATCAAGCATCACTGAGAAAGGTTTTCATACCAATTTCAAGTTAATGATAATGAATTCCACGTACTTTATTGGTGTCTATTGAGATCTAAACCTTTAGAGATGTTTAAAAAGATCACACAAGTCAGACTGGGCCATCAGCAGTAGGGTAGTATTGTCCTTGTGTCGTTAGCACAGGGAAAATATTACAAGGTCTAGGTTACCCTGACCAAATGAACATCAAAATGCTTTTTTTCTCTCTCTGCTTTTTGGTCAGAAATTTTATTGGCATATACTATGAAAGAGCTATCAGTTACTAATTTTTTAAAAAAGGGAAAATAAAACATAGATTTAAACCATTTACTGTAAAATACAGTTTATAACTATTAACCATCAATATGCATATTATAACTTCCATAATGGCAACATTTTAGCAAAATTTTAAGGAGAGGAAGAAAAAATAGGTTGTTAACATTGTTTAGTTTACTGGTTGTACTCATTCAAAAATAATAAAATGCTTTTCAAATTTGCTTTGTTTTTAGTGGGAATTTAATGGAGCCACCGTTTCAGAGCCAAAAGAAATTTGGAACAAACTTCATAAAGCTGGAGAAGAAAACTATCCGAGGAACGAAATACGATTCAGACTCTGATGAGGATTAGAGCTTAATTATAACTCTTTGTAAATCATCTTTTTATTTCTACCTGTTCCAGATTTAGGTGTGTTTTCTAAATTCCATGGGTTTCGATCCATTCTTCACCTCATGCTCATATTCTGGAGTTTTATACAGTTACATCATATTGAAATACATCTTTGATATTTTCTGTGTGGAGATTATGTTTAAGGTGAGGAACACATGTGAGTTACTACATTATTATGGGAAGGGTCTAGATTCTCTATTTTTGAGATTATCATTCATATATGTTTTTAATCGACTTAACTGGAAATAGAAATCCATCTATTCCAGGGTTAATTCTTAAGTTGCTTTATTTATTTTATATAAGAGATCAAGCAACATTTACTGGTATAAAATACTGTCCCTGTAAATTAATGTAAACACTCTTCATTTCTAGAATATTTTTGAACACTTGCTAGAGAACCTCATTTATTAATTCTGTATGCTGTATGTTGATGCTGAATCAACCAATTGCAGCAGAGAGCTATTTCAGGTGGTTAGCATATATTGCCTTATTTAAAGGTTCCTGAGTGATTGTACTTTAAGACACATTAAAAACTGAGGAGGATGCATTTTAGGAATGGTGGCATGAGGAAGTCTGCAGACACTCTCAGTAAAATGACTAAAACTTATAAAAGTTTTTTGGTTTTGTTTTTAAACCACCAAAGTCTGTAGAAATTGTTATAAGAGCATGCAGCAAACAGGAAAACATTTATTCAAGAAAATATCCTAAATCTTGGTAAGAACCAAGAATTTGTGACATTTGAGCCAAGACTCCTGTTTCCCTCGTCTGCCAACTCAGTAAAATGCAGATTTCTCCAGACAAATACAGACATTAGCACAGGGCTCCCTTTTCCTTCAGCACCCAGTCTAGGACTACATCTTCTGCTACCATTCCTCCTCATCCTCCTCCCAGCTCAACGTTGCAAAAGCTGCGTTCCACCAAGAATAACACACTTCCTCTCATTTCCTCTGCCCAGTTGTCACTTGTGAGGCAGAAGCTCTATCCCATGGGATATAGATTAAAGATGCTGAATCCTGATTGCCCTTACTCCCGCTTGGTCAAAGTGAAGGTTCCATGCAAGAAAAGGCAAGCAGAAAAGAACAGAGGCTACCACCCAGCGCTCTACTGACAGCCCAGGAGTACCGCTCTGAGGGAAGCAGGCTAGTATTTCTACTATGAGCTCTGGAGCAATAGTACACAAGTTTTGCCCAGTGGTATGCTATAAAAACATAGTTCTTTAGTAATCCCAAGGAACCCTGGTAGTGCAGTGCATTACACATTAGACTGTGAACTGCAAGATCAGCAGTTCAAATCCATCAGCCACTCTATAGGAGACCCTATACAGAGTAAATATGAGTTGGGAAAGACTTGATGGCATGCAACAGCAGCAGTAGTACTCCCCAAGGGAATTGACTTTATTTCGAACGAGTGAGAGAGGGGAAATGCAAATCTAATGGTGCTGCAGAAAAGAATGGCAATATGGGTAGTAACCAGTTGAGACTTTGTTGTTGTTAAATGCTGTCAAGCCCGTTCCTACACATAACAACCTTGTATAGTGGCTGGTGAACTTGAACTCTCGACCTTGCAGTTCAAACTGACTTTGCAGTCTAGCACATCAACCCACAGCACCTTAACAGAACTCCAGTTAAGAAACTAGTAGCTCTGTAATAGCAATAAGTGAAAGAGCTGACGAGCGAGAAGCTAAAGAAACAAAACAGCTAGGAAGAGTCCTCAAAAGGCTGAGTGAGCCTCAAAGACTACTGCACAGGGGCCTGAATTAAATTGGGTTAAACTTTGGAGCAATTTATGTTGCTGTTGTTGTGTCCTGTGGAGTCGGTTCGGAGCAATTTATACTACAGAATAATAGAATGTTGAGCTCAATTGATGCTTACAGCAGGATGTTACAATAGAGGCAGACCATCTAAAATCTTAACAAGTAGCTGAGGGAAAAATAGTGCAAGAAAACTCTGCCAGTACTACAAGAACAAACAAATCTCTTCCCTAGGAAACATCAAGGCAAGTGGCCAGGTCCTCTCAACACAAACCCCCTTCCAAGACTAAGACTCAAT